AAAATCCAAAATGCACTTATGAAGGAGCGAATTAATACGAGCTAGCTCGACTAAATGGCATTGGTATCTCTTTGAACTCGAATAAGGGCATTTGATGCCGAGATACAACTTTATCACGTGGTTAGCGGATGAAGCAAGTAGCTTTAAGGTAACTTTTTTTAGTCGATACTCTTGGAATTGTAATACTGTACAACCATTAATGCTTTAATACAGTTTCCATACTGTTTTCTCATGGTCGGTGGTAATTCTGATAATCATTTTAGATAATTCTCGAATCTCAAAGTTCAAATCGGATCAAGTCCGAGTTTATAGCCTCCGTACACCCCGCAAATGGTATAATTGTATTTCCTTGGCGATATGTACAGAAATGACCCAGAACATGTCTTTCTTTATTATTATTTATTCTAGACAAAGCCGAAGGATTTCGGCACAACCAACACGTTCTAAACATACATCACTTCCGGCGGATGTTACTTCCGTTCTCCCTATATGGCACTTAGTAACAAAAAATGACTAAACTCCTCCCTGCCGTACCAAACCAAATACGGCAGTTGCTGAAAATATAACACATGGTAACGATGGGGTGTGGAGTCTAGGATCAACGGGGAGCTTTTGGGTGTACCCTGGAGATGTACTCCCCCTCGTTTGCGTGTAGGTTTCCCGTTACACATGAAGCAGAAACAGTGCAAAAAAAACAAACAAAGACACACGAGCAGGTTTAAGTGATTCCTGATTAAGTGGCGCTGGACACATGCTGGGGTCCGTAAGGCAGTGCTGGTGTGGTGCAGCACAAACCAGTTGCCCCAGTTGCCCCAGTTGTGTTAGTGGGGAGGGGGGACCAGCATTGCTGGAGGGTTATTCTAGCCGTGGACAGGCGTCCCACGCAGAGTCACGTCCCCCCGGTCCCCTTACCGCTATCCGCGGTGACCTCCGACGAGTGTGTGTTTTGGGGGGTAAATTCAAGGAAAATGTTCAGTACGAATGGGCAAAACCGTCTCGATAAATATACAGGCATATAGATACTGAAAACCGACTCGGGCGGCTAATGTTTATTTTATTACTGACAACCTTTTCACTATTCGAGAACTATCGTCGCAATTTCGTCGTGATGCTGTTTATTCAACACTGTCCAGTCCGGGTAACCGGCGTAAGGCACCGTGGTTATGTTAGATCTCGACAGACTGCTCGATGGCTCCACCTCCTGGGCGCTGCAGTGTATCAAAGAGCGCAGTTCGTGTTTCAAAGCTGGCCGCTGGTCCAGACCCAACGAGGACAGAGAACAGTTCAGGTGTCCTGTATGGACGTGCCACAAAATGGCACTTACTTTCTCTCAGGTAACCCACTCTGAGAAATGCGAAACATCTCCGTGTGGTGAACGTGAGCAAAGAAGAATATTGAAAAAAGGCACTGAAGAAATGTAAAAACATCCACTTAGGTAAAGATGAAAAACCCAGAAGTAACAATAGGGCGTCTGGGAAGAAAAAAACAGTGAGGGGTGCTTTTTATTTGCTCACCTGCTTAACGTTCCAGCCAGTAACTCGGAAACACCTGGGAACCAGCAGTTTATTTATTGCAGCAATCCAGAAGCTCCCATGCCCTTCTACACTGTGCGCTTTGTCTGAGCGTGACGTGACCTCGAGGCTGCTGTTGATCAGAGCCAGTCTGCCACTAGACGGGCGAGGCAGGCTGGCTCTGAAGGCAGAGAGAGATACAGCGAGCTCCTGCACAGTCGCACGCAGACACACACAGCTACCAGAGCCACCATGAAGCTCACCTTCCTCTTCCTCGCCTCTGTGCTGATCTGCTTCGCCGGTGAGTCTTCTTTACTCTCTTATCTCCCCCCCCCCACCACCACCACCACCCCGAATTGTTTCCTTGAGCATCTATTTTTTTTTAGTTTTGCACGCTGTTCAGGTTCATGCTGTGCACCTACCTCTCTCCTCTGGCTCCGGCTCGGGCTGAACTGTCCTTCCTCCGCGGAAATTCCTCTGCCCGCCACAGTTCCAGTTCCCTTCGGCGTTCCTGGCTCTTTCTGAACAGATCGCCGGCTCAGGACACCACGCGGAGTACCTCATCCGGGAAAGAGCTGCAGTTTTCAAAGCGCTTAGGAATGCAAAGTCTTCCATTTCAGCGCCGGACAACAGTTCAGTTGGCAAATGAGCGGCTGAAGCAAGGGTTCAGTTACACCACGAATCCAAAGTTAAACAGGCTGGGGCCCACAGGGGAGGGGAGCCCTGTTGAAGAGTGAGGTTGGGGCTCTGGTTTTCCAGCTCTCTCAACTCCCTGCCTTGTGGTTCCCCCGAAGGGCGAGCACTTGGTCAGTAGTCCTTCATCTTCCAGTGCCCAGAGCACACTCCGTCTGCTCAGTCTCCTTCCAGCTGCGTCTGAATGATTTCATCTGACCCCCTCATTGAGCTAATAATCCGATTCATCAATGAGGGGCTGGCAGCAATGTCCCCTCTGATTTGGAATGGCCTGTGCGCACAAAAATGTAAAATTGTGCAATTTTTTTCTCCAGTGACAAAAACGTCTGCGCACTTAATTGAGTGGAGGTAAAGTTGTACACCTGAAATTATTTTAGCCATTCTCATAGAAGCATAGAGATCCAAAAGACCGGGACAGCGATTCAGCGAGCATGAGCAGTGAGGTTCAAAACTACGAGAGCACAGATATCGATGATCGAGTAGCAGTAATATTGCACACAGCCAAGTTGGCCCACTCGCAGACAGGCGCATGTGGTCAATTTAGCATTTTTCAATTGACCGCCATGTTTATATAATTAGTAGTATATGTTCTGGGGAATTTATCTTTTTGTGCGCAGTTCGGTTTCCTACCTGCGCGGATTTCATAACCTGTGGGTGCGCGCAGAGCGAACGTTGGCTGGCAGACAATTCTTCCCTGGCTAGTCTTGGGAATTGTCAGGAATTACAGGAGTTGCAGGGAGTGTTGGGAAATTTCAGGAATTGTTGGAAACTGCGGGAATTGTTAGGAATTCTCAGGAATTGCAGGCGTTGTCAGGAATTGTCGGAAATGGCAGGAATTGTCAGGAATTCTCGGGAATTGCAGGCACCGAGGGGAGGATCCGCCACCCTGCTGCGGCTCAGAGGCTGTCACGCTGCAGCAGTGGGAATGAGGTCGGGGAGGCTCCTGTCCCAGTTAGCCCTGCGCCTGGGAACAATGGAGCAGGCAGGAAACGAGAGAGCAGGCCGGGCAGCAGCCTCTCACAGGGGGCATTGTCAGCTGCCCATCCCTGTACAATACACCAGCTGTGGAGAGGGAAAAAAGACAATCGGAAACCAGACGAGGATGGGGGGGGGTGGGTAATAGAGGCCTTGAGGGGTTTCACCACGAGAGGTGATCCGCGCGGAGGGCGTGCCTCGCTTTCCCTGGGGAGCTCCCTTTCACTGCTGCGATCCCAGTTCCTGCTGCGTGCTCCTCCAGCCCTCCCACCTGCACGCCCGCCAGCAGCCCAGCCACTGTCTCCCTGCGTCTCCCCGTCGGTCACCTTTCCGATGGGTCCGTCGATACCTACGCCATTAACCTGACTCATCTTCCACGTCCAGGGAGCGGGGGGGTAAAACAGTGGAGAGCTCTGCTGGAATGGGGATGGGCGGTCCAGTCAGCAGAACGTCCTGTCAAGCCCAGCGTCTCAGGTGCTCCAGAAGCTCGTTGGTGACCGTGTCAGTGCTGCTGTGTGCTGGTGGGGTTAGAGCACCAGAAGGTGGCCAGTTGTCCCCAGGGCTGCGTGACAAATGTCCGTCCCCTAGTTGGGTCAGGTGTGGTAGTACTCCAAATTAAAATAACCAGATAGGTCAGATCACGTGAAAAAGGTCTTTACGGGTATCAATCTTTCTGCTTCCTTTAAAGCTCTGCTGCTGAGAGGCAGCCTGCAAGTCACTGGTTTTGCTTTTATTCACCCGTATCATTTATTCGTGGATCCAAATGTGTGTCAAAGCCTATAAAGTGAATTAGATGCAGAGAACACTGCAGAATGTTAAAGAATGTTGGTAGATCATATTGCAAAACAGGACAGTGTACTGTAGGAAAAGTGAACACAAACTATTTCTATTACTTAACACAAAGTTACACAAACTATTTCTGTGGTTGTGATTTTGCAATGCACTAGCAAATACAAATATACAAGCGTTCATTCCATACGCTTCCAAGTTCCAAGAAATGCATCATGGAGGGAAATTCAAATAAGATAGTTCTGCGTATCTAATAAGAAAGAAATGAAGAAAGTGATGTGATGATGATTGGTCTAATTACACCTTGCACATTTCCTTCTTTATGTGCTAAAGCCAGTCTCCAGTGGAACTGCGTTCTGGGTAGGAGGGAAAGAGCCAGCTGTGCTCAGCATCATGATTGTAACATTCTGAAATGTGTGTCTTCCAGAACTCGGCTCATCTGAGCAGCAGCCCGGACAGCTGAAGGAGGTGGGCACCTGTTCTGACACCCTGCTTCTTTCCCGAGGCACAGTGGAGTGCAAATGTGAAATACACCTTTGAAAGGAGGGTATTGGCCACACCGTGGCATTGATTGAAATACCTTTAGTAGTTCAGTCGTGCTCTGAATCGGGGTGTAAAACAAGAGCCATTTCATGTACATAGCAAGACTGTGTAGGTGTTAAACTGAAATTCAAAATGAAAAAAAAGTTTGTTAGCTGGGAGTCTGACTTAGAGGGGTTCAGTTATAATCAACACCACTGGCTCCTCAGACAAGCACAGACCCCTGATGTCTGATCCAGAGCCTCTCATTCTGAGCAGGATCGCAGCTGCAATACTGCAACCACACATCACCAGCAGGGTGAAACTAGCCTGCCTCCCACTGGTCTAAACCCAGCTGCTGTTCCCCACGAGCGTGTGAGCAGCCCAGCGCTTGATGGATTCTCCTGCACAATGACGGGAAAGTCCAAAAAGTCACTTTGCTGTGAGGGGATTGAAGTCAAAATCATACAGTCAGTGTGCAAAAGCCTGCAAAACTACTCTAACAAAAACACTGCCAAATGCTTAAATCTTAAACCTTTACTAAACACTCTTTGCTTTTCTACCATGAGACAACTTTTCGATTCTGTAGTATTTAAAGTCCAAGAACACTATCCATCTTGAATACTGTAGCATGTAAGTTTTAATTGCCCATGTTATCCAGTTTTTATTTCATTTAATTTATGTGCCGTCCTCAATAGCCCATAGTCTAACTTGTATGATTTTGTCAGCAAAGACATACAAAACACAAAAAAGCACTCTAAAAGGATAGAATCCCTGACCAACACTCACATATGTTGGGTTCTACAAGCCTCGCAGGATCAAAATACTAAACAGAGGGTAGGGGCAGGGGGTATTCTGCGAGTATTGTGGTCAGGGTTCGGATTAATGTCAACAGGCGTGACCTGGAGAAGGCATCACTGCGGACAAGGCGCCAACCATGAAACAGAGGATCCACAAACACCTCGGGGTCTCACAGAGGGGGCTGAATGTTGCCGTTGAGTAGGGCTGATCGCCGTGCAAGGGCCCGTGACGCGTCTCTGTGTCTCCCGCAGCCCCAGTGCGAGAGGTACACCGAGCCGGCGTGCTCCCGGGAGTTCGACCCGGTGTGCGGCAGCGATGGAAAGACGTACGCCACCGAGTGCGTGCTCTGCGCCGAGAACAAGTGAGTCCGAGAGCCGCCCGCACAGGCACGTGTGTCGGGCCTGACCTTGACCTGGGCACGTTGGTTCTCCTGCCCGTAGCAAGTCACCCTCTAGAGCTCTGCCCTTCAGGAGCGAAGAAAAGTGGCTTGCAGATTTGAACGTGCTCCAGGCGGGACGGACTCTAGCCCAGTAATCCGGGGTTCTTGAGCGCCGCTGGGCTTGTGTGTTCGTATCCCCAGCTCCCTGGGGGTCACCCTGCGTGTCGGAGAGAGACCAGAGAGACGCTCCTACAGCGCTCACTCTGCAGGGCCCGCAGGGCAGGAAAGCCCAACGGCAAGCGGACAGCGCAGAGGAAACGCATCACCCGCGCCGATACCAGGGCTGCAGCAGTGAGCTGACCCGCTCTGCCGCTCTTGTGGCAAAGATCAGGCTTTCAAATTTAAAGGGGCAAATAGTGGACTACTGCCGAAAACAGTTTTCCCAGAGACTCGGAAGGGAAAACCTCTGTCGGAGAGGGAGCACCGAGTAATGTTCAACTAGGGTGGGAAAAGGCGATAGGGCAACAGGTGGTCACCTTGACTGCATGAAACAAAGCACCTTAATCCAATTCGCTGCTATAAATCACCTACAAAACATTTAACTTGCCAGCACACCATGCCCCTGAGTAAACAATGAGGATTCTGAAAACTCACTAGCCTGTAGTGTGTGGGGTCCCACTGTATCCCACTGATTGGATGTGCTGGTCAGATTGCACAGGGCAGGAGATTCTCACAAACTCTGTTGATCAGCTGTGATCACTACTCTTAACCGAGGGCTAAATATTGAGATCTTTACTCTGTTTGGCAGTATGGTGTCTTCTTTGAATAATTCCTGTAATTTGCAACAAGCATTTTCAGACACAGTAGTTCAAACGGTTTGCCTCAAATCTGAGAGGATGACATAAAACATTTCAGCGTACCAAGCAGCTCTTTTTAATTCCATCATGACACATTTTGTGTTGTCCAAATGAAACGTGCTTAGAGAGGCACAGGCCCGCAAGGATCAAATTAATAAAAACAAACTGTATTGCTACTCTTGTCAGCTGGGGAATCTAATATCCTGCAAAACCCACTGATTTATCTGACACTTTATCCAATGACCTCTTACAGGCGGCACGTCTGATCACTATCAGCTTTCCTCAGTGACCGGACTCTGCTCGTGTGCTTGCTTTGCAGGATCAGAAACACGGACATCCAAATCCAATACAAAGGGGAGTGTGGGGTGCCCCCTGCCTGAGAAGTGGGCCTGAAGTCCCACCCAATCAGCAAGGCCGTGGAATTAGCTGCAGGAGCTGCTCCAAATAAAATAATTTAGCATGCCGCACTGTCCTTGTGTCTCATTACAGCACCACTGTCGCTGGATAACGGGGAGGAATACCTGCGTAAGGTATCTTTCCATCACGGGTCCTTAGGAGACTGTCCAGGGGTCCCCTGAGTCAATAAGCAACATTTTTATCACTCTTACAGAAATGCCTTTAATATAAATATGTGATGTGTCCATAATTAAGGAAGGAGGGAAATGCAGATTCGTCCAGCTCTTTGGGCTTCCAGATGTGAAGTTATGGTCACCCGCACGGACAAGAGGAATGGTGGCCAAGATGCATCCCGAACGAGCAGCGATACAACACAGTGCGAGTATGAAGAGTGGGGGTTTATTACGGGGTTCTTACACCCTGCTCTGGCCAGACAGGTGCATTCAGGGGGCGGGAGGGTGAAAGATGCAGCACCACTCCACACCC